CTTTAAAAATCCATTTTGTGTGTTTGGGCTTGTTTTTTTTTTTATATATATATTTTTAAGGGATGAATGACCTATTGTTTACTACTTTTTCAAAAAAAAAAAAAGAAAGAAAGTAATAAACACATAATAAACATCATCATTAGAACAGGAAAAAAAATCGTATTTATTATCCAAAAAACAAAAAATAGCTCCAAACACTAAATTAAATTGAGTAAAATTTTTTTTTTTTGAGCTAAATTTATTCTTTTAGGTAATATTAAAACTCAAAACAATCATCATCAAACTCCTTTAATTAAATGAAATTTGTTAACATCATGCTTAATATTTTTCATGGTCTCAAATAGTGTTAATCATGATATTATTTTTTATTTTATTAAAATTTAGTGACTCTCTTTTTTCCTCTTTATCACATGAAATGAAAAAAAAACATTATATGGAAAGAGAACTGAAAAAATATACAGGGATAAAAAATGTAACATTGAGAAAGTAGAAGGACCAATGTTAACTTTTTCACAAACTTTCAAACCACTATCCATTTTTATTTTAGTCCTTATCTTTTGATTTTGTTTTTCCTTAACAACTTGACTTAAATTGATTCTTAATTAAGTTTAGAAAGAGTGAAATTAAAAAAAAATATTGAAACAAAAAAAACCATTATAAATAGTGTGTCTACAATGTTTTGTAAGAGGATTCTCAGTGTAATTTTGTGAAATGAATATTCCATGTATTTTCAGAGTTTTGTTAATATTTAGTAATAGCCTCCAAGAAAATGGCAATATTATCAACCATAGCGGAAACAGCAGGTAATAATTCCAACTTCACACGCGGGTGCATGCACTTTTTTAGCCACGTGTTTGGTTGCAAATTTCTTGGAATATTAGTTTTTTAGGAAAGCTATTTTAATTTCAAGTGGCTATAATTTTTTTCAACTGAAGTTTTTGTTTTATTTTGGTATATCTAAGATAATTAATTAATTGTATTATTACAAATAGTAAACAACATAGAAAAGTAACGATTTTTATCTAGGGGCAAGCAAGATAATGTTAATCCATTTAATATGTGATTGGTATTGTGATCAAAATATAATTTGATAAAAGATTAATTTTTTTAATTAATTTTTTAATATTTTGAATTTTTTTAATGTGCAAATATTAAGAATTAATTTTTTAAAATAAAAAAATATTATTTTGATATATTTTCAAATAAAAATTAAGAAAAAAAACCACTATTATAATGCTTAACATGCATTATACATCTTGCAAACTACATCTTCCAAACAACAATAGATTATTTTTTATTACTTACATTGAGCAAATGAAAAATTAAAATGAGACACATTAATAAATAAATAAAAAGTATTAAACTAAGATGGAGCAAAAACTCAAAGCGATACATAAGAAAGAAAAAGCCGGTAAAGTGGCGAGAACATTCCTAATGATATCATTGGTGGATGTTGGCTGGAGTTAGAACATTGAATGGAAAGAATTAGGACAACAAATGGAACAAGATTTTTTTTTAAAAAAAAAAATCAGCAACTAAAAATAATAAAAAATAATTATAACTAAAAAATATATAAAAAAAGTAAGGATTAAAAAAAAAACTTAAGATTGTAGTATATAATAGCATTATCTATAAAGAAAAAATGCTCCCTCTACACAAAAACAAATTTAAATATAATATGTTTCTTTTCCAAAACACAATAATTTGTTAGATGCAACAAAAAAATTTCAAACCTTTTAATCACCATTTTCACTCACTTGAGTTAATAAAGTATAAGGAAAAAGTGAAGTGAAATTTGAGATGAATATAGAAGAAGGAGTGGCTTTAAATATATGTATGGATGTTATGGGAACATCTTGGTGATTTTATTATGTGAAAAGAATAAAAAGAAAAAAAATTACCATATAAAATTTTTTTAGTGAAGAGCTAGTTATGTGAAAAAAAAGAGAAGAAAACCACCATAAAATGTTGATTGATTTTTATAATAAAAATACATATAATGCATACATGCTTATATTTCTTCTAAACTAAATACATTTATTAGAGATAAACATTTATAGGACAGTAATTTGGGTTGACTAATAATGAAACCAAATCCTCACTTTTATTTTATTATAAGGCAAGATTCAAAAAAATAATTAACTAAGAGTTGAGTTTCAAAATGTTTTCGTTAATTACCAAATTTATATTAACCTACCATAAGTTAATTATTTTACCATGTATATTCATTATAAATAACCACAAATATCTCACCCATCTTAATTGATAGATATTGTCATAATCTATTTCTGAATTGTTTTTTAAATTCATCTTTTTTCTTTTCAAAATAAAAAATAAAATAAAATAAAATAAAGACTGGAATTTTGACAAAAACAAGCTGAAAGAATATCATATATTGAAAAAAATCAAGATGTAATTTTAAATGAAATTGAAAACCTAATTATACCCTTATTTTACCAAAAAACTAGAAAAATAATGCAGATTCACTGTTAAATTACATGATTATTGGATAAATTTATACAAAAATAAAGTCTAGGGGCATAATTAGATTTTTAATAGGACAAATTAATTTAATCATGGGTTAAATTAAAATGTAATTATGTTTAAGAATTAATTTGAGTCCAATAGAAGGATTTAATTAGGTGAAGAACTTAATTATATTTTAAATAGGTAAAATTAATTTTATTAGGAGGCTTAATTAGTGAAAAATTAAGTTTAAGAGCTTAATTTGGGCTTATTTAAAAAGATTGAAATTTTCGAAGATGAATTTGTTTTTTGCAAAGTTTATTGGTTCAAATAAAGGATAAAATCACAAGAAAATCAAAGTTTTGGGGTCAATTAAAAGCTAAATTGAAGAAATTTATGGCTAAGTACCATTTTAAAAAAGATGCCAAACTCTAGGGATAAAATTGAATGAAATCGGGGTGAAATTGAAGAGAATTGAAAGTCTGATACTTAATTGAGGGTCAAATTGCATAAATCCATTTGATGCTTAATTGAAGGTCAAATTGCATAAATCCAATATCAATGACTAGAATAAACAAAAATGTTGAAATCCAGAGCTCACATTGAAATTTGACAGGGGTAAAATTACATAAAATTAAAAATTCAGGGTTAATTAGGGATACAATTGAAATAAATTAAACGATGGAGGAGCAAATTGAAATTGAATTAAAATCCTAAATTAAACCCTAAATCCCTAAAATGACGTTGTTTTAATATTATATATATAAAAGAACACCAAATGACGTGTTATTTAGTAAATGTTCATCTCTTTCTTTATTTTGCTAGAAAATACTACTTGAATGGTTTCCTTTCCAAAACATTTAATACTTTATCTCTCCATCAAACTCAATCACAAGCCTTAATTTATGATTGTGAGAATTATGTAAAAAACGATTTGATTACGTATAGTCTTGGTATCTCGATACATGTTATTATTGTGCCAAACTCAATCACAAGTCTTAATTTAAATTTCTTAGAAATGATTGATTTGATTGTGAATATCTAGATCTATATATCACGAAGATTGCATCATCATCATTATTGATTTATGATGGTGAGAATTATGTACTTTTCATCCTAACACATATGTCATTCACACACACTCAATAAAGGTATCAATTCTCAAATATGTTTTAAAAAACTAGATGTAATACATTAATTTAATCATAAATATAAGCCCATTAAAATAATTAAATGTTAATTATATTATTCTTTATCATTTAAATTTCATAAAGAACCATCAAAATATTAAACAACTAAGTTCATAAAATTTATTAACTAAGTTATTCATAAAATTTATTAACTAGGTTATCATTAATTATAATTTTAAATCTCGATTCTAATATGTGTTCGAGAATATGGTTTAGGTTGCCTTAAATTTGGTATGAACTGATTCAAGTAATAAAATTTAGTTATGTTAATGTATTATACACTTGTTGGGAGATCTACAAAATAAAACTACCACTTTGAGCAGTTATAGAAAGTTTTTTAGATATATTTTAATATTATATTTTATAACAATATAATACATCTCCATCATATAAAAAAAACACTCAATAAGACATGAAATACACATATATCTTTTTTACATAAAAAACAACATTTTTATCTTCTTGAATTTTGTACCTATTTATCACTAGAGAAAACACTCAAATATTAACTTAAGCATCATAGTATTCTTTGTTTCACTAGAGATTTGTTTTATAGATACAACAGACCTAAAACTCATTAATCAGGAAAAATTCATTATTTTTGTGAAGTTTTTAAATGACTTCATCAATTCTATTACAATAAAAAGAGATATGATTATAACTTTTTTTAACTTGTTGTTGTCTTAGGTCAAATTATCTCCATGTTATTAGGTCAAATTATCTCCATGTTATTATCGGTGATAAATATCAAAAGGTTGAAAGAAATTGACCGATATGATATTATTAGCTTCCTTTTCCTATCATAATTAAGAAGAGAAATGTAAAAATAAAAAAATTAAGGTATTTTTATTTTTAAACATATCATTATATATTTTTTAAGATGCAAACAACATTAACTCTTTCATATAATTACTATTATACGAGGATTCTAGTGATTATTTTCCTATTAAATTTTAGATGGCTCCATTACTCTAAAAAAAGAAAAATCATTTATTTTTTTTTGGAATGGATATCCATCAAATCAAATTCATAAAATATTGATAGTGTTTCTATCTTTCAACGCCTTCTTCTCCCCTCCTTGGCCTAAAATCGAATCAAGCATATTGATGTGTATTGGAGTAGAAAAATACATAACAAAATGGTTGGAAAAACACTCTGGCTTGGTATCAGATACACCAGGTCCAATTAAAAGAATATCCGGAAGATCCAATCGTCAGATGGGTCTCAAAGAAATTAACATTTAATCGATTGGGCTTTAGCTACACTTGAGACCCAAAATCTAACCTCCAATGTTCAAAATCCCAAGCCCTCCGGCCCGGTTAATCAAATGCTCTGTTACTCCCTCAGTCCCTCATTAATCACGGTCATCGTCTCAGATTTTTTTTTGAAAAAGAGAAAAATCTCCTAACATCATCTTCCTCTTTCAACCAATTTGCGCCGGCCCGGTTAATCAAATGCTCTGTTTCTCCCTGAGTCCCTCATTAATCACGATCATCGTCTCAGATTTTTTTTAAAAAAGAGAAAAATCTCAAAACATCATCTTCCTCTTTCAACCAATTTGAAGAAAACCCTAACCCTAAAAGCCCAATCATGGCGTCAAGAAAGAAACATTTAGAAGGAATTGCATTACTCTCAATGTACAACGACGACGAAGAAGACGATGATGAAGAAATGGAAGATCTCGAACACCAACCAAACCAATCTAACGACATGGAGCAAGATACTCTGCACGACGATAACGCCGTGCTTACTGAAGAATTCCAGAATACAGAAGAAGCAGAAGCAGCTACCGCTAGTCGGAATTCAACTCCCGAAGGAAGTCTTTTAAGGCCTTTGACGCCGCTGCAGCAGCAGCTGCAACAAGGAGGGACTATTAATTTGGAGACGAAGAGTAGTAGTAGTAGGAGTAGGAGAGGGAGACTTGCTATTGTTGATTATGGTCACGATGAAGTTGCCATGTCCCCTGAACCTGAGGTAATTCCTTTGGCTTTTAAGATTGTCTGTCCTTGTACTTTTTTTCTGCTACTTTTCTTGCTATCCTGTTTCTGATTTGGGATTGATTGGGTTCTTGCTTTTGCAGGAAGGGGAGTTCGAAGAGGAGCTTCAAAGTGCCAATGGTATGCATTGCTCGTATTTTGGCTATTTATGGATCAATCTTTAACCGTTTTATTCTTAATAAGCCATTATAGTTTATTCCCCTCTTGATTGCGTGCAGTTATGCAGTTTGTTTTAAGTGCGATTTTGCTTGTTGCAAATGTGATTTTGTATTATCCGTGTTCAACAATTATGATGCTAAATTGGGATTGAGATCAATGTTGTTGAAATATGGTTGTGATTGTTCTAAAGGAGGAAGTTAGGCCTGTTATTATTGTATAAAGACTTGATAGGACAATTAATGTCGTATGTTATGTCTTTAAGTTAGTGATTTTCCTCTTCTGTTGCATATGATTTGATGGCATTTTACTTTGGAAACAAGTGTTGTTGAGTGTTCCCAGAAATTGATGTAAAGAGGAATGAATGCATCTACAGGCAATATAAAGCTCCTGCTCATAGTGCATTTTTTTGGACTACTGTTTTGTAATTTGCGTGCAATTACAATGAAATAAGGCAAATTCAAAGTTCTTATTGTTTCATAGTAAAAATGCTCAAGGTAATTATTGGTTAAATATCCATGTAATAGGTGCTATCCAAGAAAAATCTTCTCCAGTAACTGCTCAGATTTTATCTCCTAGTGTTCGAGCAACTCCGCAGTCATCTGAACATCTAGAACCATCACAACCTGGTGAAATAAATGATACCACTAGGGAATCAGAAGCTGTCAATGCTGAAGTTGCTAATGAGGTTCCTGCAGAGGGTGTTGATCTGTTGGATAAATTTCTTCCTCCACCACCTAAAGAGAAGTGCCCAGAGGACCTGCAAGTGAGTTTCTTTTATATCTGTTGTCAATAAGTGCTTTATAAATTTGCTATGTCTGGTGCTTCTGTCAACTTTTTTTACAAAGTACCCCTGATATAAAATACACTACTTTCTGTGTTTCAAGAGATCTTTTTTTTTTTTGAGCAAGTAAGAGTTGGGGACATCCTGATTAGGGTTCTATTATTACTTGTTGCTCCTGCCTATCTTGTTTGTTTTAAGTAATTTGGATCTCATTTTACCGTTTGGCTAGTATGTGTAATCTTGGATGATCCTTATTTGATCTCTTTGTTGGTTTGCCACTGTGAATTATGTTAAAAAATGCGTTGGTTGATCCTTCCTATGTTGTTTGAATTATGGTTAAGAATGCATAATACCTTTTGGAACATAAAATGAACTGTTTGTTTCTTATATTCAGATGATGTAGCTTTAAATGATTGATTTATGATCACAGTACAGCACATTTTACATGCTCTGACATATTTTCCCCTCTTCATGCTTGTTATTTGCAGAAAAAAATTGATAAATTTCTTGCCTTGAAAAAAATTGGGAGAAGCTTCAATGCAGAAGTCCGCAATAGGAAGGATTATAGGAACCCGGACTTCTTACTGCATGCTGTGAGGTATCAAGATATTGATCAGATAGGGTCTTGCTTCAGGAAAGATGTATTTGACCCTCATGGATATGACCAAAGCGACTACTATCTTGAGATAGGTTATTACAAGTTCTTTCCACTGTTGCATTGCTGTCTTTGACTTGTTTTTTCTAATATGGGTTTGGTGTTCCTTTAACTGTGCTTGTAGTTTGGCTAATTATGTAAATTGTATGTTTTAACTGAAGAAAACCACTGAAGCTTATGTTCTAAAACTGCAAATCTGCAATATTTTGATATGAGGGCTGTCATTTCTTGGTAATGGGAATGAACTAGTGGCTTCTTCTTTCTCTTGCTTCAAAAATAGAAAATCATGTATACCGAGTGACACGACCTCTAATTCTTTCTTGCTTTTCATCACATCCTACGTAAATTTTTTCATGTACATTAGATCGCATTTTAATAGGTTCCATGCTTGCAATAACATTTTCATACATCAACCACAAGTCATATCATGAAACATAACTTTTCATGGAATTTAAATATTTTTTTCTTGCTTACATTCATTGGATGTTTAAGCTTGATTGTTTCCCTAATAAATAAATGGACTTGCATTTCTGGCTTGGTAGAACAATTAATCTGTAAGGGCCGACAATTACTCTGTAGGGGCCTGTGGGTATGTCTTTATTTGTAATTGAAAAGCTTTCTTTGCTGAATCAATTTTTCTAGTGGCCGGTTGTTTTTCAAAGCTATCTTTTGAAGCCCTAATGTTTTTGCAATTAAGGTTGTCTTTTTGTTGAACAGAATTTCCTGGCAATGACCTTTAGTAGTTTTGTAAAGCAGAGGCTGATATGAGGCGTGAAAGGGAGAGGAAGGAACAAGAGCTAAAGAGAAGTCCAAAGGTTGAATTTGTTTCAGGGGGGACTCAGCCTGGAGTGGTTGTACCTCCAACAAAGTTCAGTTTGCCTATTCCAGGTTTAAAAAAGATTTTGACTGTAGACATTGATTTTATGAGATATTTTTTCTTTGTGGCATCTCACTGTTGTATTTCATAGTGGTCTCCTTAACTTGAGATTATCTTTCTGGTGTTTCAGTTGCCACTGCTAGTGGGACGCATTCATCTGCAAATGCAGCCGATGCAGCTCCCCGCGAGGGTAGACAGAACAAGAAGTCAAAATGGGATAAGGTTAATCTCTGCATGCATCTCATATATGTAAACTTATGGTTGTGCTGATGTTGAGGAACTGGCATTTTAGTTGGACTACTCTATTTGCTTTCAGGTGGATGGTGATGGAAGGAATCCTTTACCAGCTGGTGGACATGATTCTTTAGCTGCAGCAGCAGCTCTGTTATCTGCAGCTAATGTTGGTTCTGGATACACGGGTTTTGTGTAAGTTCCATTAGATCCTTTAAACAATTTATTCCTGTTCATATTTCTTTCAGCACCTTTCCCCTCACCTCTATCTCCTTGAGTTTCTGTTTAAGTGCTTTGATTTGATCACAGTATTGAGGTGATTAGGATTGCTTTGATTATTGTACATAGATAGTAATTGGATTAGAAGAACAACCAGCCCTTGCAGGGGAGTGAGTTTTCTGGTGTTTTTAGTATTAAGAATTAAAGTCTGGAATGAACTGTAGATTTATGGTGAGAAATTTATAATGTTCTATTTGGTTACTTTGAGCAAGATTTATCATTTAAAGCTTTCAGGAAAACAAAAAATTAAGAAAAAATTAATTCCTTAAACCTCTTAAGAATATGGGTATTCTTAGATAGCTATTGGCGATCATGACAGGATTCCATATGCTACTAAACAGCCACTGAATACTCCAGCTGTGTGATTTGGGGAGCAGAATGCTGTTTGTCCATTCAATATCCTCACTAGGGTCCCACTGATTTCTCGTTGCATACATTAATAAAAAATGGAGTACGGCTATAATGTGCAAATTCACGGGCTGACTAGAACTTTCTTAGATGTGTCCAACTTCAAAGTTAAAGATATTGATGATGCATGGTGATCCATTTTCATCCTGGATGGCAGGCAGCAGAAACGGCGAGAGGCAGAAGAAAAAAGATCTGGAGAAAGGAAGTTGGAAAGAAGATCTTGAGCACTCCTGCAGAGAATTCACTACCATACCATTCTTGGGATGGACAAAATTGCTCGAGGCAACATGGCTTTGTTCTTGTTCACATGCTAATTTTTATAAAAGAAAACTGTGTTTAGTTAAAGATAATTTTTGTAATTTTCAGCTTGAAGTTGAAATGTAATATAGCTTATAGCACGAGTTCGAGTTTCTTTTGCTTGCTGCGCCCGTGAATGTGATCAGCAGCTGAAATTTCAGTTTTGACTGCCTTTTGCAATGAGCAATAGGAGGAATATATTACCTCCCATGGCAAGAATAGTTCTTCCTATATTTGGCTGATTTCTTTCGCAATCCATATCAACTGTCTACAGGTGTGGTCTCGACTGTGATGTAATTGGGGCGCAGCTGTGCTGTGTAGAAAGGGGAGGTTTTTGCTCTCCAGCTCTCCTCCTCTTTAGTCTAAATTAAAGCCAAAATGGCAGAAAGCTAACACTCAACAAGAAAACTGGTCATTAATAAGTCATTCTTTTGGAAGGAGCGGGAACACGCCCTCATGATGAAACCCTTTGTTTCAAGTAAGAATCATCCTTTACATTTACACTCCAAAGTTCAAGCCGAAATGAATCCCTTGTTGAAATGGCCCAAAAGTAGGCATGGCTTGACCGCTTTGCATGCTTCTCTTTCGCATGCCATTTTCAGTCATAATCCTTAGGAGCAGTCTCTTCTTCCTCGTTTCATTTTTCTTTGCCCATTATCATAGCCAGTGGAGGACATTTTATTGCATTCACGAAATAATCAACGATCCATCTTAAAAAAATACGAATACAAAGAGGAGAGAACATAAACCCATGATCCTCAACCTTGAAAAAACATGCAGACATAAAGAGAGGAGAATATAAAACCCATGATTTATAAATAATGTTAAGAATATCTTTATTTATGTTTTTTTTCTTTAAAATGTGTATAGAAAATAATTAATAGCATATCACTAATTATTCCATAAGCAATATAAAATTTCTTAAAAAACCCCGCCGCCACTCGACCAAATTATTCTTGCCTCCATTCGTTTCTCGGATTCATGAAAGCTTTTATTTCATTATAGCATGATTACATAAATCTAGTTCCATTGTAAAACGATGTTTGGTTACTTTGATTCTAGTCATTGCTTAGTTAGTATGAGATTCACAGTCAACATTACTTGGCTAAAGGAACACCTTGAAACCTTTTAGCTCCATCATATTATTTCTCCCGTTAAGTTATGAGTTGGATAATTTTTTTAATTTTTTAAAAAATTATATAGGTGTTATTAATGTATTTTTTAGTAAAAAAAAATTAATTATTTAAAAATTAACCTAATATGATCTGGTTGATTTGATAAATTTAAAGATAATTCGAATGATTTATAAAAATATAGTTTGACTTTAAAAAATTAGGATAAGATTTTTTAAAAAATATTGAAATAACAACATATTACATCAATTCAAATCAACTCAAGTTAACCTATTAAATTCATTACTCAAGTCATGAGACCTTGGTAATTCTATATAAAAAATAAAAATAAAATAACAAACCCAATTATTAATCAATGCAATATTGAATGATGAAATTAAAAATAAATTCAATTAAAAAATAAGTTGAGTCAACTTGGGTTAACTTTTCAAACCTAAACTATAAGGTTGAGATAACCCCATAAAAAAATTAAAACAAATTATGAAGCTTGACTTTCAACTAATCCAATATTGAAGGGTGAATTAAAAAAAAAAGAACATAAAAACCACCTAATTCAACCCAAAACAATTGATCAAACCTATAACCCGAGTCATGAGATCATAATAACCTTATAGAATGCAAACCAAAACAAATTATGAAATCTAATTCTTAATTAACCTAATGTTGATGGATGAAATAAAAAAACTAAGAAAATGAAAAAAAAAACCGAGTCAATTATCTTAACTACGAGATTTGGGTTGTAAGACCCTAATAATCTTATATAAAAAAAAAATTATAAAGTTCAATTCTCAATCAATTCAATTTTGAAAGATTAAATTGAAAAAAAAAATAACCCAAGTAACTAGAGTTAACCTATCAAACTTGAGTCAGAAGATTGAGATAACTTTATAGAAGTTGAACTGAAAAAATTATAAAATTCGATTCTAATCAATTCAATATTAAATGATGAAATTGAAAAATAAATAAATAAAAATAGATAAAAAAATAACCTGAGTCAATACAACTAACTTGTAAAACTCATAACTAGGTTATAAAACTAGAATAACTTCATAAAAATAAATTATAAAGCTCTATACCTACTATATTTAATATTAAAAAATAAAATTAAAAAAAACACTAGAAAACTATGAAGACGAAGATGAAAAAAATTCTTGGCTTTTAACTGTTCATTTAATTCCTACATTGAAAAGCAAAGCTCTTTTTAGAATGTGTCAATACCATAATTCCTTTCAAGTCAAACATGCGTGCGTGGAAGTGAAACACATCTCGTTTACATGGGATCTTGATCCTTTTTTGCGAGAAGAATTCTAAGCATCCTGGCCTTCATTAAAATTTACAGTGAATCTGAATCCGAGGAACAGCTTTTATGTTTCTGAACATCGATTTTGTCACCAGATGCTCGGTGGTCCCGGGAAATTCTTTAGCCGACTCCTAGAATGTTGTTTTGCTTTTATAGCATGAAAACATCTCAGTATGACCGTCTGTTGAACATGTATTAGAAGCTAGAAATATAACAGTGTCACACTCCACCAAATCATGGAGAGATTCAAAGAACATGCATTGACTGTCCAGAAAGAATATTCTACATTACCTTTCAGGTCTTGAACGTGATTTTATTCTCACCGTAGTTTCAAAAATCGGTAGCATTCATGTTAATGTCGGTATCGGAAATACATTAGATAATGCCTTTGATTTCTCTTTTTTTTTTAACGTCTCCATGTCGCCGCTCCGGAGAGACGTGGAGGCATAAAAAAAGAGCTTTTATCAACTTGTTCCAACCTAAGATAATTAACTTATGAGCTTGATTTTATTTCACTGTCAAAAAATTAAAAAAAAACTTTTATCGACAAGTTTATCTCATACATAGTTTGTTTCTTTGGTACGAAGCAATGTTAAATCAAAATAATTAACAAATATTACGTCTCTTGAGCAATGAATAAAAACTTAGTAGTGAAAATGATGGTGCTAACAGTAATTCAAGTGACAAAACTAACAGTAGTAGCCAGAATGAAACCAACAAGGACAAGAAAAATATATAGAAGATAGTCATTCACACGTATAAATTTAAATGCAAAAGATTTAAGATTTTAATTGACAAGTTGATAAATTTTTAAGAATGTTAAATATTTAATAATATTTATCACTGCAAAGATATTGTAAGAGAATATGAAATGAAACATGATTATCATCTTAAAATAATTATTAATTAAAAGGAGAAGGTGGGCGCGAATTGTATGAGCAGTAGGTGTGCATGTGTATGTCTCTTTGGTATCCGATAGCAAAATATTTATGATTAAGTCATTAAAAGATGAATATAGTTATCTCAGGATATCTAACATCAGGATAGCTAACTCAACAAGGAGAACAAAAAAAAATTGTTATACATAATCAATGTTAACTCAAACATATTAAATGAAGCTTTTGACACTATTTTAAATAATAATTTTAGGATAAAACCACGCCCAATAGTCATGAAGAGCTAAAAAAACAGAAAAAAAAAACTAGGAAATCTACAAAAGATGTTATAAAAAGTCTTATAATAGACTCTTTAGATATGCGTAACTTTTAAAAGAATTGAATCTAAATTTAAAAGTAACTCAGAACCTTAACCTGACTTATTATCTAATCTGAGTTTAAAATTAAATTATATAAGAATTGACTTGATATGATCTAATCAACTTGGTTAGTTAAAAAATAACTGAAATAATTGTTAAAGAAAATTTGAGAATGAAATTGAAAAAAAATAAAAGAAAATAAAAGGAAAAATGAAAATAAAAAAGAAAAGAAAATGAGGGCATCTGCATCATGATTTTTTTATGTATAAAAAAACATGCAGGTTATTTTGATTTACATAAAAAATTTAAAATGTAAATTGAAATAACTATGCAAGAATCTAATCAAATACATCAATAATCATTTATGTAAAAGAGATATTGAAAAACTAAGAGATGAATGCAGAATATTTGATCACGCTAAATGAGACATTTACTTGTTTATTTCTAATAAATGTTTTTTATTAAAATTAATAAAAAATAATATAGATAGAAACACATATGAAATTTATTGACTAAAATTAGAATAAATATTTTTTTATAAAATAAATCTCATATGTATAAAATTAAAAGATTCTTTAAAATTTAAATACAAACAAAATAATTTAAATAAGGTCCTTAAAAAACCTGCAAAACTTGTGATGCAAGCTATAAAACTGAGATAAACTGATTGAGAAAAAAATTGAAGATAACCAAAAAATTAATTTTTTTTTTTTTAAATATAATGTCAAATCATAAAATCATAAACAAAATAATAAAAAAAAATCTTGAACTGCATTAACTTTTGAAACTTATTATTCATATCATTAGATCATAAGCACCATAAATAAAAAAAACCACAAAACTTAATCTCTAACAAATCAACCATCGGGTGAAGAATTGGAGTGTTAATTGAAAAGAAAAAAAACTCTAACAAAAAAAATAAATTCAAAGAATGAGGGATAAATTAAAAAATAAAATAAAATAACATAAACTTTAATTAAATAATAAAATTAAAAACTAATAAAAGTTTAACAAAAAAGCCAAGAACAAAATTAAAAAATCAAAAGAATAGGGACTGAATTTAAAAAGTAATATATGACAAATTATAATTTAAGAACTAAATTGAAAACATACAAAACTTTTATAAAAGGATCAAAGATAAAAATAAAAAAATATAAGGATTGAATTGTGAAATCAAAAAAACAAAATGACAATTATACCCTTTCTCTTGTAAATAAGAGATCTCTAGGAAATACCAAATTACCTCCACCCTTAAAAGCTTCTATTTTTCTATAATAATAATTTGAATATAACAATTTATATTAAACTATATCTAGAATTATAGTGAAAAACTAACATCCTATGCATTTACGGCTAATAAAAACTGTAAAGCAGTGCGTGTTTGAGAATATAATTATAATTATTTTTTAAAATATTTTTTATTTAAAAATATATTAAAATAATATTTTTTATTTTTAAAAGATTATTTTTAATAGTA